CCTCAGAGATGGCTCGTTGTTGGGTGAACTGGGGCAGAGAAACATCTTTTCAAGCCTCCTAGAGGCTCTCAGGCTGCTGGGAGGGGATCTTTTTTGTCTTTTACGTGGCTGGGAGTGGGTGACCACATCAGACTAGGCAGGGAACTGGCTTCCCCCTGGCAGAAGGGGCTGTGGAAAGCTTCGTTAGGATTTTTCTCAAAAGAATCGTGTTTATGGACCAACTGCTCTCCCCCAACCAGGAAGAGGCTCAAAAGGCAGGGGATTTTTTGGAGGGAATTAGGGAACCAAACGGGATTGCCTTATGTTCTATTCTGGTTATTGTTGCTGTGTAGCAACTACCCCAAAACTTAGTGGTTTTAATACAATCACCATTTCATTATGCTGATGGTTTAGTCCAGGGAGTTGGACAGGCTTAGTGGGGACTTAATTCTGCTCCATGGTGTCTAGGGTCTCAGTTAGGAAGATTCGGAGTCTGGGGGTGCCTTGACAGCTGGGGGTTGGACTCTGAAGGCTCATTTACTTGCATGAGTGGCTGAGAGAACTTGAAGATCAGGTGCGCTAACTGGGGTGCCTACAGGTGGCTTCTCCATGTGGCTTGGCTTCCTTACAGCATGGCGGTCTTAGCTTAGATAGATTTCTATCTAAGAAGTGGCTCAGGACTCCAGGAGTTAGTTATAGTCTCTGTCCTCAGACATCAAAGGGGATACAGGAAGCCATACAGAAAGTGACCGGGTCACACAGGGCCTAAGAGGCCATGAAAGTTGCTTGAAGTTTTATTAAATGCAATAGGAAGCCCCTGAAGATTTAAGCAGGGGAGTGACATCACCTGATTTACCTTCTTAAAGGACCACTCTGGTTGTTACATGTGGCATGAGAGGGGTGAGAGTGGAGGGAGGCCTGGAAGGTGGCTTTTGCAGTAGTACAGGGGAGAGAAAATGGTATCTTGATCTACAGTGTTGATAAAGGACAGATTTAAGACAGATTTTACAGGTGGACCCACTAGATTTGCTAGTGCCAATGAGGTAAGGAGTCAGGGGAAAGGAGGAATTATGGTGACTCTGAGGTTTTTTAATGAGCCACTGGGGACATGGTGGAGCTGTTTTCTTAAATGGTAAAAAATGGAGGAGGGCCACATTTTAGAGGGAACATTCAGGAGTTCCTTCCCATTTTGGACATGTTGAATTTGAGATGCCTGCCTAACCCCAGATGGGTGCTGAAGATTTGGCTTTGGAAGTTGCAAATACATGGAGATTTTCAAAGCCATGGGCTTAGATGGTACCATCAAGGGAGAAAATACAGCCAGAGAAAAGAAAGAAATCAGGACTTAACCATGAGGAACACTGACAGTTTTAGATCAGCGGTTCTCAGCCTTAAGTGTACACCATCTGGAGGACTTGGTAAAACACAGATTGATGGGTCCCACCCACTGATTCTGATCCAGTAGCTCTGGGATGGGGATCCAAAAATCTGCATCTCTAACGAGTTCCTAGGTGATGCTGATGTTGCTGAGCTGGGGACCACACTTTGAACAGAAGGAAGCGTTACTGGCAAGAGACCACTGAGGTAGGAGGGAGACCAAAGAAGGATCTAGAATCTGGGAGGAGAGTGTTCCAAGAAGGCAGGAGCCTGCAATTGAGAGGCCAAGTAGAGTGAAGACAGGAGAGAGCTGACTGGATTGGTGACTTGCAGGTTGGTGGAAGTTTGACGTGAGCAGTTTCAGCGGAGTAGAGAAGACAGAAATAAATCGAAGAGAGATGGAAGGTGGGGAAGTAGAGACAGCACTTCTGAGAAGTTTTACCCTGATGGGAGCAGAGAAATGGGCACTGCTGGAGGAAAGTGTGGGCATATGTACTTTGAACTCTCTCTAATGATAGTGGGTTCTCTTCAGGGTTGGCCCATTCAAGTGGTGTATTCATGTCCTCAAAGACCTTGTTCCTTTCCTCTTTCCACTCTGTTCTCCCCAGGTAGGAATCAGATGGCTGTACTTCTAGGAATCACCATCTGTCTCCTAGAAGATTCCCTGTGGGATGAAGCCCTAGTTGCCCACAGTGGTAACTGACCCATTTCTGCACCTTTTTCTGGCTTTTTTCCCTTCCCTGTCTCCTGCTCCCCACTTCCTCAATTGTGCTTCCTGAGATCCCCTCCCAAATAAACCAGCTGAGTCACAGTGTCAGCTTTTGGAGGACCCCAAACTAAGGTACACATT